TCATATGCACCTTTGAGCCAGGAAGCACTGTTTTGAGGCTGCTGTACCCTCAGGGGGTGGAGGCAGCTTTTCTGCCAAACAGACCTCCCATGACAGTCCCTTGAGTGTGTCTTGGACTGAATAACTTGGTGCTGACCTGGGGCTCAGGAGTCAGGAATGAGGGTGCTGACCAGACCGAGTGTGTGCCTTCAGGGGGCTCTGCTGCCATCCCTGACTTCTCTGCCCTCTGAGAAGGACGCACGTTACATGTTGGGGGTTTCCCTGCACTGATACCTGAACCATCTGGACACTGGGGGTACTGCTTCCATAGTTGCAGGAAGGTTCGCTGTAAATGCCGTTAGTGTCTCTTCCAGGGAGGGATGAATGCCCTTCTGTGCATCTCCGGTACGTTGGGCATCTCTACCGGGGAATCACCGCTCGGATTTGTCTCTGCACCCCAGCCCCTCATTGTATCGTCCAGTTCTTTGTGGCCCAGAAATAGGTTTCAAGAGTTTTGAATATCCTATACTTTAGTCCTTGCCTCGCACTTAAAACATGGAAGAAGGAAAGAAGGAAGGAGAGGGGAGGAAGAGGAGAAAGGAGATTGCGTTTGCAGAGTTGAAGGGATACATGTGTCTGGAAGTGGGAGAGTGTAGAGAAACGTGTGCAGAGAGGTGCGTGTTCAGAAAGAGAAAGGAATCTTAGGCAGCTGGTCATGAAGCAGTCCAGTTACGGATAAGGGGACAGGTCAAGAATTAGCGTCACTTAAAGACAAATGTGGAGCCAATAAGCAAATCCAGGTCTGTGTGACTTCGGGGACAGTCTCCTGTGCCACAATGCTTTGAAAACAATAGTGCAAGAGGGACCCAGTTTCTGCGTAGGACCCAACTCCCTCGTCCACAGGGAAGCAAACTGGGGCCCGGAGAACCGGAGTGTCTTGCACAAGTGTGAGCTGGTTGGTGGCAGCGTCAGGAGGACGGGGTGTGTCTGCAGTCAGTCCCCCTGCCTGAATTTTCCAACCCGTCCTTCCAGGCCGGGGGTGCCAGTCACAGTGTTGCCTTGGGTGGCTCCGTGGGTCCCCATTCTCACCCTCCTGCTGGAAGGAGCAAGAGGTCTCAGTGCACAGTGGGACTTGCTCTTTCCTCTTCGTTGCCGTGGTCCTAGACCCCGGCCACATCCCTGACGTTGCTGACCGCACTGCCTAAGGCCTTTGGATGCTGGTGGTACCCAGATGCCTCTACCTTTCCCAGGAAAGATGTTTTGCAAAGGTTTTCAGATTTTTTTTTTTTTATCCTCATCCGAGGACATTTTTCCATTTTTTGTTCAGATAGAGGGGGAGGGAGGGAGGGAGGGAGGGAGGGAAGGAGAGAGAGAGAGAGAAACATCGACGTGAAAGGGACACATCGAGTGGTTGCCACCCGCATGACTCAACCAGGGCCGGGGACAAACCGCAACCGAGGTACGTGCCCTTAGTGGGAACCAAACCCTGGTCTCTCTGGACCGCAGGCCAATGCTCTGACCGCTGAGCCAAACCGGCCAGGGCTCATCTTCATGATTTAAACCTTCAAGCCAGAAAGGAGAGGAAATCTAACAACCTTCTAACTGCAAACATTGAATCCTCTTTTGCCAGTGGCTTAACTTCTGAGATTTATTTGCTCGTAAGGACATTGAAATTTTCATAGGAAACATGATGGCAAATAAAAGATGTCTGCTGTGTGTAAGAGAACAGACTGATGTGATGGAATTGCAGACTTTGGAGATGATATTTGGAGGCAGGACCTCATGAAGCAATGCATTCTATCCACACATCGCGATGACGATTGTCCTGCCTGGGGGAAGGAGGCCGGGACTGGACGTGCTTATTCGTGATACCCAGTATGGGAAGCGGTCTTCATTTACGTTGTGTGCCGTGTGTGCGAGTATGCTTGCGGAGCACGGTGTTACAGTATTAGCAGCCGGTATTAAATACATCACTTAGTATCAGGAGTCTCAGTCTCAAGCATGAGGACAGATTACATTTGATGTATTAGTTTTTTAGGGGGACAGTTAAGACTTGAATTCCTGATTGTTATAGCCACTAATTGAATTGTGATTTGGCTCTTAATTCCGCAGGGAGTTCACCAACATTGACGACCCACCACTAATGAATTAATGACAATTCCTTATTTGCAACTGTATCTGGGAAGGGTTGGTTCACATCTTCTGGTCACTATAGACTTTGTGAGGGACACTTTTGACTGGGGGCATCCTTCTGTTATTATAGCATTTCTTAGCCTAGCTTTTTGAGAAATTCTATGCTGACTTCATGGTTTCAAGCCTTTAAAAGCCCCTTAAGGAATCCTGTCCAATCTTTATTCCCCCCCTCTTCTTCCATCTACCTTCTAGAAGCATCTTTGGACTGTGGCTTTGACCCAAGATCTTTGTCCACCAGACACCCCATCACTGTTTCAGAACAGAGGAGTCAGGCGTCCATCAGAGATGACAGATGAGTAGGTCAAATATAAACATTTCTACTACTGTAATTAATTAATAATGCTCTTTATGCCTTCTATCAATATGGTACTTGTGTCTGGGCTCAGAAGGGTACTCCTGAATATTTACCAGTGTGCAGCAGTACTTACAGATGGAGTTGTGCGCTTGGCTTCATGATTTTTTTTTTTTTATCCTCACCTGAGGACATTTTTTCATTTTTTTGTTCAGATAGAGCAGGAGGGAGAGCGAGGAAGAGACAGAGAGAAACATCAATGTGAAAGGGACACATCGAGTGGCTGCCACTCGTACGACCAACCAGGGCCGGGGACAAACTGCAACCGAGGTACATGCCCTTAGCGGGAACCGAACCCGGGTCTCTGGTCCGCAGGCTGACGCTCTAACCGCTGAGCCAAACCGGGCAGGGCTCGTCTTCATGATTTAAACCTTCAAGCCAGAAAGGAGAGGAAATCTTTCTAAGTGGATCCCTACATCTCTAAACTGTTATACAGTGCACCATCATCTCCCCAAAGCCTTCCCCAGGCAAAGAGTCTGAGAAAAAAGACGCAGCATCCTTCCCAGTAACGCTACAAGCGAGTGTCCCCCAGGTCCGGCCTCAGATGCAGACACTCTCATCTGAGGTTTTCCATCCCTCGGCAGCGGGACTGGCCCAGGCGGGACGTGAGCCTTCGTGTGCTGACTCGCTTCCCACCAGGACAATTGCTTCGTGCCACGGAGAGCCCACACCGCCAGCTTCGCACACAACACGTTCTCGACTGCTTCCCGCCCCCCTGAATATCGCTGTGCAGGGCGCACTCTCATTGGTGGGGGAAGCCTCTGCCCGCCCACTCCCACAGCAGGCAGACACGGACACTCAGAGTGCTAATCAAACTCTCATACCCACTGTACCCTCTCGAACCCCATCGCCGGCAGGAATCAAAGTCTTCCCGCCGAAAGCACCCTCGTCTGGCACATCGACAGCCCTGCTGATCAAATGACACCAGCCGGTTCCATCTCCCACGGACAAAGAGTTCGAGACACCCCACCCCACCCCAAAGCAAGCGGCAGCTGGCTGGAAACAGACAGGCCGTAGCTGTGCGTCCCCGGTTCACCCACACTCAGCATCCCCACCCCAGGAGACTTCAGGGAGCTGGGACAAGAGGGCTGCCCTAGGCTGCTTGCCTACCTAGGATTCCGGGTCCTCGTGGGTCGAGAGAATGTGCGGGGATTAAATACACTGCTGGGACCTTCTCAATGCAACCGTAAGCACACATGCTCTTGGGTAGATGGACGTGACCACCCTCTCGTTGTCTCCAGTTCATTTGCGCCAGCTAGGACGTACCACAGGTACGGAATGAGGTGCTTGGTCTGTGTGTGGTCACTGGGCTTGATTAAATAGGGGTCGTCATGTCCGCGCATTGTGCTCGGAGTGTGTGGAGAACAGACAGACACGTGGCTCTCCAGAAGATGTGCTGCAGACTTCTGCACCAGGGACCACACGTGGCTGTAAGGAAGAGATCGCTCACCCTTGGAGACGACGCGGAGGGACCTGGAGGGCGTTATGCTGAGCAAAATACGCCGGTCAGAGAAAGACGAGTGTCACCCGATCTCACTTGTTTGTGGAATGTAATGAACAAAATAAGCTGATGAGCAAAATAGACCCAGAGTCATGGAAGTAGGGAACAGACCGACAGGCCTCAGAGGGAGGGGGTGGGAGGGTGGAAGAGATAACCCACAGAACTTACATGCATGTATGCACAACCAGTGGACACAGACAACAATACTGCGAAGGTGGGGGTGGGGCGGGAGCAGGGAAGAGGGTGTCAGTGGGGGAAAAAGGAGGGACATGTGTAACAACATAAATAAATAGCTACATAACTAAGATTTGCAGTGGATCTCATACCCCTGGGTGCAGAGAGGCTGCCCCGGGGGTATGTTCCGGGTCTGCTTTCTGGGCTGGGAGGGTGGTCGTCAGACGGAATGGAGGAGACCAGTGCCAGGGTTGCAGCTCCCCCAGGTGGCTCGGAGGGGACCCCAACGCTAAGCCGCAGAGGGGGTCCTCACGAGGTCCACACGGTGCAGGCACAGAGGGCGTCCTCCAGCCGGCACCTGCCCGGCCCCAGGCCTTCATGCTGTTCTCCCGCGAGTGGGCACTCCTGGTCCTGGGACCCACGGTGCTCACTCCTGGGAAAAGGAGTGGAGCAGCAGGTAACAGCCTGGCTTCGTCTCCTTCCGTTCTTCTCTCTCCTCTCCTCTCTCTCTCTCTCTCTCTCTCACACACACACACACACATACACCCCTCACCCCCTCAGACAGGCACGCATTCACTTGTGTGTATACTCATCAACCAGCCTCCCCCATGGCAATACCCACCATCGAAGGACACCCACGTGTCACCCACAGAACCATTTAAAAACACTCCAGGCAACCCAGGTAACTGCACTCATTTTTTCCTCTTTTCTCGCTCATCATCCCCCTAATAAAGGTCTATTGAAAAAATATATTAAACCAGTTAAATTTTTTTACTCATGTGTTCATGTGGCTGGAGCAGATTGACAAGGAAAACAATCACAAAATAAATATTTTTGTTTTTGTTTTTAAAAAAGAACATTTCCTTATACATTGTCTCTAACTGGACAGATCGGGGGCTGTTGGGAGGGGAGCTCTGGCTGGACCACAAGGGGATGTGAAACGAACCAGGGCCCCGAAACTGGGGTAGCCGAGGAAGCCGGGGGGCGAGGGAGGCAGGAGTCGGGGAGCGAGGCCGCCTGCCCGGCCTGAGTGTTCGCAGTTGGTGTCGCGTCTCCTGTCCCCAGAGGAGTGGCTTCCGGAGGGCTCCGTGCCCAGGGCTCGGAGGAGGCAGAGTACAAAACTGGGAACCAGTGTGGGGAATCACGAGACATCGCTGTTTTAAGAAATCTGGTTAAAAAGAATACAAAAGTGACTCCACAGAGGGGGAGAGGGAGCTCCACCCCTCCCGCTCGTGTCCCCTCTTGCTTCCTTGAATGATAAGAGTCACTTTTAAGGATTTGTGTGTTTCATGGTTTGGCTGGTTCTTTTTCTTAATCTCTCCCTCTGCTCCTCCCCTTGAACCGCATTCACTTTAGAAAGCACCGGCTTGACACACGCGAGGCTGCTGAGTTGTAGCCTCCCAGAGGGAGTGTGTGTGTGTGTGCGTGTGCCTGTGTGTGCACACGTGGGTGAGTGTGTGCGTGTGTGCGTGTGTGCGGTGGCTGTTTCTTTATCCCCTGCCTGCTTCAGCCTAAGCCCCGAGGTCCCATCTGCTGGGTGCAGAAAGTCTCAAGGGGGCACCTTGCTGCATCAAGCTGAGGGCCCGGATGGGTGGACCCCTCCCTGCCCAGCACTGTGGGCCCTCCATTAGCTACAGAGTTTGCCGGTCTCATACTCCACGGGGTTCGGCAGCTTGGAGTTGAAAGCCCGCAGGGAGGACTGGATCCTGCCCACCTCATTGTTGGCCAGCTTGAGCCGGTGCCGGAGCAAGCAGGAGAAAAGGTCCAGCCGGACTTTGCCAGGTGGAGAGAGCTGGTTGACCCGGTCCCGGAGCTCTGTGAGCTGCAGGAGGGCAGAGTCCTGGGAGCCTTGGGTGTACGGGTAATCCAGCTGCAGGATTAAGTCCCGGATCGCGTCTGGGTCAAAGGGCAGGCTGTAGCCGAAGACCTGCAAGGTGTTGATTTTCATGTAGCCCAAGTTCTTGGAGGGATCGGTCATCTCCAAGGGCTCGTAGTAGATTGTCTCGTTGGAGCTGTCATCCAGGGACTTGATGCGGCTCCGCAGGTAAACATGGACTGTCTCGAAGAAGGTCTTCCACCTGTTCCCCAAGGTGATCGTCCAGTTCTGGCACTGGGCAGCCGCGTCCACGTTAGTCCTTTCCCAGTCCGGGAAGCGGCCCTCGTTCACGGGCATGAACCAGCTCTCAGAGTGGCTGCCCCCAAAGGGGTTAACGTAGATGGCCATGACGGGCTCCAGCGTGCTGTTCTTGGTGAGGCAGATCTGCAGGGACAGGGCCAGCATCACGTGCACCAGCCCCGGCTTGTACTTGTTGCTCTTCAGGGTGAGCAGCATGCGCTTCCGCCAGGAGGGGTCGAACCAGCTGCCCAGCCGCATGTCGTTGCTGATGAAGATGGAGTGCACCTCGATGCGGCTGTCCCACTTCTGCAGCAGGTACTTCAGCTCCAGGTCCTGCAGGTCTGTCTCCAGCCCCAGGAAGCTCTCCAGGGACTCGGCCACCTCTGGCCGGCACAGCCCCTGGGCCAGCACGTAGCCCGGGTTGCAGCTCCCACAGCGGGTGCTGTTGTCCCGAGCGCAGTGGGCACAGGCCGGCCCTTCGCCCAAGGCACATGGGATGGGGCCCTGGCAGGAGGTCTGGTCGTAGGGGCAGCTGCAGCTGCGGCTCTGCTCCAGGAAGGTGCCGGGGAAGGTGCTTTCTCCACAGTAGAGGAAGGACTGGATTCGGTTCCACCAGTAGGACAAGGGCCTTCGGGAGAGGAGATAGAAATGAAGCAAGAGTCATGGGAAGCCACACACTGCCATCTTCCCCACGGGCAGCCGGACGTGGACTAACAGGCAGGGAAGGCGAAGAGGAAGATAAAAGCCCAGGTCCTCTGAAAGATGGAAACCCTACTGTGCCACTTTGGAAAGACGAATGAGAGCCCAGGGCTCGGTGTCTGATGGGTCTGCCCCCAAAATATTTGACATCAGCCTTGCGCTGGGAGCAGCCAGGCTCGTCCCTCCCCGGAACCACCTCACCCCCTCCTTCCGTCTCTGCACGGACTCTGGTGGCCAGGCTTCTACAGAAGAACCCCCCCCCCCCCGTCTCTCCGGACGCCGACCTCTTCCCCACCTCACGGCCGCTGTCCTTCCTGTCTCCTCTGTCGCTCACTCTTCCCCCAAGAACAGGCGCTTTCCAGAGCCAGCTCCTGTGAAAGATTTCGGCTGTCCGGTAATACCTCCTCCAGGAGGTCTCCGTGACTTCCCCTTCAGAACAGCCACCCCGCGCTCTCTCTCCTGTCACCCCGTTTCTGAGAACCCGCCGCAGGGACCAGCACAAGAAACGACTGTGTTTCTCCAGCGCTGGCTGGTTCTGAGACGGCTTCTTCGCAAAGCAGGGCCGCTGTGCTAACCACCAACCTAGTCCCAGAGGCTAGAATTGTTCCTGGTGCATGGTAAACAGTAACAAATTTTTTTTTTCTTCTTTGTTGATTTGAGAGAGAGAGGAAGGGAGAGGGAGAGAGAGATAGAAACATCGATGAGAGAGAACATCGATTGGCCGCCTCCTGCACGCCCCCCACTGGGGATCGGGCCCACAGCCCGGGCACGTGCCCTGACCAGGAATCGAACTGGCGACCTCTTAGTGCAAGGGTTAGCGCTCAACCACTGAGCCACACTGGCTGGGCCATGGTGAACATTTAATAATTATTTGGTGAAAAAGAAATGAACCAATCTTGAAAGCTTTGCCGGGCCTGCCCCTCCCACGCCTCAGTTAGAGCTGAGCCTCTGGGTCCTGGCCGGGGTGGCTGTCTCCTGGGACAGTCCGCCTCCCCTGCACCGGCCTCTCCGTCTCCGCCGCACAACCTGGCCACCTTCCCCAGCGGGCCTTTCTCTGTGACCTTGGCTTCTACTGACCACGATTTTTATTTATGTCCCATGAACGTGAATTTAAGTGGCTGCCACACAGGTGCAATTTTTCAGTTTTTGTGTTTCTGTATACGTCTTAAATCTTCCCAAATAACAACTATCCCCCACAGCTCGATTCAAGCACGTGCGATGTGCACTTCCTAAGGACTTGTTGGACGAATGAGTGGACGAGCAGGGCCGTGGGTGAGAGCCTAGGCGATCCAGCCCCACCCTGTGCCCGAGGGCACGGGACCTCAGCTCCTGTCCTCCGAGAAGTCACTGGTCCGAAACCCCCAGTGTGTGCACTTCCCGTGCCCGCAACTGGTGTTTGAGCTTTGACTCCACCCTTTCCTTCCTAAGAGACTTACCAAATGGAAATAAGTGAGAATTAGGGGATTATTAGAACAACATTTGATTCTACTAAATGACTGGGAATAAGTGAGAATTAGAGGGTTATTAAAACATTTGATTCTATTAAATGATTGGAAATAAGTGAGAATTAGAGGATTATTAGAACAACATTAGATTCTACTAAATGATTGGAAATAAGTGAGAATTAGAGGATTATTAAAACATTTGATTCTATTAAATGATTGGAAATAAGTGAGAATTAGAGGATTATTAGAACAACATTAGATTCTACTAAATGATTGGAAATAAGTGAGAATTAGAGGATTATTAAAACATTTGATTCTATTAAATGATTGGAAATAAGTGAGAATTAGAGGATTATTAGAACAACATTAGATTCTACTAAATGATTGGAAATAAGTGAGAATTAGAGGATTATTAGAACATTTGATTCTATTAAATGATTGGAAATAAGTGAGAATTAGAGGGTTATAGAACAATATTTGATTCTACTAAAAGATTGGCAATAAGTAAGAACTGGAGGGTTATTAGCATAACATTGATTCTACCATCATTTGTGTAGTACAACTGGCCTCTCTCTTCTTTCCACTCTCTCTCTGTAGACGCATCTGCTAACTGAGAGTGACAGGTGCGCAGGTCAAGGTAGCAGGAGACTCTAAAGGGCCACGAGTGTGGCTCATTCCTCGGTCTCTCGTTGGGCAGGGGCCTCCCTGGCCTCGCGGCGGGCGAGGGGCTGAGCTCCGGGCGCTCACCTTTCCTTGGGCAGGCGGAAGCGAGGCTGCCGAGGGCAACGTTTGCAGAGGTTGAAGAGCCGGCGGATGATGCGGTGCGTCTTCTTGAAGAGTGTTTTCAAGCCGGCTCCCAGCTGCTGGTAGCGGTGCTGGAGGCTGGTGTCCAAGGCCCAGAACTGGGAGATGGCTGTGGAGTTCAGGAACCTGTCATCCGGCAGCCTTTTCAGCAGGGCCTGGAATTCCTCTGTGGGCAAGGACACAGGGCCGAGCTAAGGGGGAGCCATGCACACCCTTGGGGGGCGGGCGGCAGGTGCTCCCCACCCTTCAGAGTCGCTGTGTGCAGAAGGACGCTTTGCAGCCACAATCCCAGGCCCTTGATGTGCTTATTTTTCAATAGCTTTATAGAGAAATGATTAATGTACTATAACATACGGCTTCAGGATTCTTTCCTGTCCTTGCTGTCTGTAACATGCTTCTGAATTTCAAAAGAGATCTCTGTCACCACCCAAGGGGCCAGTGATCATGGGATACATCTCTTTTTCCCTTTCTACCTCCTCGTAGGTATTCACAGCACTGCCTGAGCCACGAGTCCTTAATGACACCACAGTGCCCTATGCAAGAGGCGGTGCTGGCCAAAGTGGACAAAGAGACGACAGGGCACCCCGTTTAGGAATCTTCCTCTAAGCCTTCCCGTCCCTGAGACCCGCCTCCCCTCTCCCACGCCTTTTTTTTGGGTCTGGGAGCTGCTCCCTTTATTCAGTCTTCCACTCGTGGCCAGACCCGCTCTTTCCTGTAGCTCACCCAGAAGCAGCGAGCCGTCTGGTCTCGGCTCCGACTGCGAGTCCGAGATGCTCTCGGAGCTCCCTGCACACGACGTGTTTTCTGAGTTCATGCTCAGAGACCTGTCCACAGCTCTGCTTTTATGGGACCTGCAGCCACAGGCCTCCGAGGGGAAATCCAGAGAGTCTTCACCTACTCACCAGCAGAAGCTCATGGAGGTGAAAGCCCGCACGTGTCATGTATGGGACAGATGTCCCCGGCAGCCAATAGCAACTGGGGTTGGAGGCCTCTCCTCCACTGCTAAATGCTTTGTCCAGAACTTGGAATGGCCCTGCCTGGGGCGTCAGCTCCCTCTGATTTCCCAGACACCTGGTTCTGCATGGCCCCCCAAAGACTGGACAATCACCCCCACAGTGAAACTTACAACTATCAAGTGCATAGTTCTGTTTATGGAACATTTAAGCATACAAAATAGTATCAAGGATAACAGGACAGGTTCCCACGTGCCCACTGCCTAGCACTTGGCACTTTGCCATATTAGTTTCAGGGTTTTTTTTTTAGGGAAATAAGACAAAGCAAATAGACTTGAGGACCCCAAACCTCCCCATCATCTCCATCTAGATGTAGGCAGTCTCTTGGATGTTTCCTGTATCATTACCACATATTTTTGTGCGTTCTACAAGTGTATTTGTCTATAAAAGTATTAAGTATTGACTAGCATGTCCTTAAACGTCATATAAATAGTATTACATGTGTATTACATGTAATTATTATTATATTACAGCATTATATATAACTATTATATATATAATATATACCTTTTCATCCTGCTTTGTTTTATCCAACATTGTTTTTGAGATATATCCATATAACTAGTGTTTATTGCTATTGAAATGCATGACTAGATTGTGCAGAGTTCTATTCCCATTCATTTTATCGAAATCATCCTGTTCAAACCTTCTATCCAACTATCATCGCTTCCCTCTTTAACAGACGAGGGGACTGCAGCACTGAGAAGCTGGGGGGCCAATCTAAGGTCGTAGAGCTGGTCACAAACAGGGTGCTCCTCTGTCCGGGCTGCTGCAGCAAAATGCCAGACTGGGTGGCTTATAAACAGCAGAAACTTCTTTCTCACTTCCAGACGCTGGGGGCCCAGGGTTAGGGTCTAGTGAAAGCCCCCCTCAGGGCTGCAGATGGCTGACTGCTCCCCGTGTCCGCACACGGTGGAAAGGGTAGGACATCTCTCTGGGGCTCACTCACGAGGGCACTACTCCCATTCGTGAGGGGTCTGCCCTCCTGACTTAATGACTCTCCAAAGCCCTGCCTCCCAATATCATCACCTTGGGCATTCGATTTTCAACAGATGAGTTTTGGGCAACACAAATATCCAGACCACAACACAGAGAAAGGATATAAAACCAAGTCCTCGGAATCTAGGTCTCAAGGTTCCACTGACATGAGTAATACCAGCAACAGGCAACACCTAGTATGTCTGGGTCTCCTAGAACTTTCTGTTCATTGGATTCGTTCAGCAAGTGTTTCTCGTGCACCTTCTGTGCGGACACTGTCCCAGGCACCCTGGGGTCAGTAGCAAACTAAACAGAGCCTATGCCTCCCTTGTATTTCATTTAGCTTATTGCATCCTTCAAACGCATCTCTTTGGTAGGTATTATAGCCCTTTGCATAGAGAAGAGAAAGAAATGGCTTGAGACTCAGAGTGGTGATAGAACCTGCTTGAGGTCACAGAGGTGGCTGAGCCAGGATCTGAGCTGAGTTCTCGTGATCTTTTTTCCGAAAGATCACAGGCACCTCCCATCGTTGTGGGGGGGAGGGGGGAGGACTGGGGGACTGGCGACCACTCACCGGACTCCTCAAACTGCCGGTTGTGAGTGGCCCAGGAGCCCTGGATCTGCAGCAGGCTGTCCTCCATGGCCTGGATGTCGGCATCAGGACAGTTGCACGCCGGGAAGGTGGGGCCGCACTCGCACCAGCAGTCATTCTCCTTGCAGATGAGCTGGCCCTCCGAGCTGCACGTGATGTAGCTGAGCGCCGCAGCCACAAAGCGCTCACGCAGGTGCTCGGGGAGCAGCACCTGCAGGCCTAGGGAAGGCACGAGTCAGGGAACCGCCAGGCAGAGCAGTGGGGACTCCGCTTCCCTCGCCCCAGGCTGCAGGAACCCCAGCTGGGGCTCTGCTGCCTTGCGCATCCTGGGCCCAAGAATGGTCACCCCAGGGCCTGCTCCTGCTGAGCTGGTTGGGAGAGAGGGTTGCCGCTCCCCCAGTGACAGATGGGGGAGGATCTGAGAATGCAGATGAGGAGCCTCAAAGCCCAAGGCTTAGTCGAACCCCTTATATCAGCCAAACGGAGAGCGTGCGCATCATATGAACTGGCTGATCGGCTACCCATCAGCATTTCTAGGATGGGAACAGGAAGATGTTTCGGATAAAAGAAGAGCTTACAGCTCTCGTGGGGGCGGAAGCAAGCCTTGATGGGCTTTTTGCTTTGTCTCTGATAACCATCCTGTTTCTAGCTTGGCTGAGATTAGTGGCAGGCATCCTGGGATGTCACTTAATGCCCAGCCTCCTGGGCCTCCCACCCCAGCCCTGATGACACAGGAGGCAGCCCCGGCTGGGAGCTAGGGACAGGGACGGCAGCGCAGAGTGGCCAGGTGCCACAGCAAGTACTTTCCATCTACAGTCACCGGTGCCTGCTGTGGTCACACTGAGCCTCTCATAGGAGAGGAAATCCAAGCCCAGTGACCACAGTGTCCGGCCCAAAGCACAGTCCTAGTAAGGTCGGCTCGGTGTCAGACCCTGCCCTTGTCCCCCCGGGTCACACTGTGTGACCGGGACTCGCTGCCCATCTCAGGATGATTTCACTTGAGGAGATTCGGAAGTAGGGTGCGGTAGATACCCGAGATCAGTCGGGCCTGGACGGATGTGAATGGCTCTCAGCTCTCCCCAGTGCGCTTCCTCAGATCTCGCATGCCGTCCACTAGGCTCCGTCTTCCCCCCCATCTGCAGTGGACATGCGTTTACCAGTGGCGAAGTATACCCCTACGTGGCGTCCAGCCACACAGGGCGGCTGCTACAAACATACCTCGGGATGAACAACGGACAGGCAGTGCCTTTGGTCACAGCCTGAGCGTGTTCGAGGTCAGGCCTGCAGGAGGCTCCCCCCGCAGGGACATTGTGAGCTCCGGTGTCAGGAGAGCGAGGGCCCTGGGGACTTGGACAGGAGGCACTCCCCTTTCCTCAAATGCCTGCTAGCTCTTTACTGTCACCCCCTTGACCTTGTCCTTGGCAGGAAATCAGAGAGCCCGAAGGATGCATCCCGGTCTCGGCAGACCTCAAAATATAAGTCAGAACTGCGGACGCAGTGGGCGTTTGGTGTTCTTGTCTGAGGTCTCCTTCCGACTCCCAACTGCCCCTGAGTTTTCCTTCCTTGATGTCATGCCCTGTGGTGCTGGAGTGGTCCTCCCACACTCCCACCCCGTCCCCTGGCTGCTCTCAACACGCGCCCCTCTGAAAGTCCAGTCCTTCACCTCCCCGCCTCCCTCCTCCTCACCATAACATTTCCCGTTGCTATAAAATAAGTGCCTGGAGCAATGTGTGCATGAGTGATGGGCTATAAAATTAAATGGCGTAAACTCTTCCAAATGAACCGCCAGACATTCTGGGCTTCGCGCGTTGCTAATTTCCAGACACAAAGCCAGCACATCCCGGGTCACGGGAGCGGAGGGATCCTAACTGTGCCTTTTCCTCTTCGGTGTCTATTCCTTGATTCCTAAAGCATTGATGGGTTGCATCCGGCGTAGCTTGCCTGGAATTTGTAATCGTAGATCCTGGGTGAGAGCTATTGATTTTATACTACAGAGACAATAATATCTTAAGCAGAGTCCAATTCAGTTAGGCCTTAAGAAAAATGAACTTCCCCTGCTGCCGAGCAGCTCTGTCTGAATCAGTTTGCCTGCCGGGGGACGGGGAGCAGGAGCCGAGTGTGGGCCTTCTCTCCAGCCTCCTGACCGGGTGTGGTTCCCTGTCGCTGGCTTTCCTGTTTGCTGCTCTGTCTTGGGTCAAGGGTCCCATTCCTCTCGCTGTTTTCCTGGCTCTGGTCTCCCAGGGAAGACCGCAGAGTAGCCACGGAAAGTGGGGGCCACTCCCAGGGTAACCAGTGGCCCCATCGTTGGTATAGTTCTCAGCTGAGCTAGAGATGGGGGCCCCATAACCATTCTGCAAAGGTCAGCTGTCCCCGGGGTGCTCTCAGGGTAACGCAGAGGGTTCTTTTGGCAACAAAGGACATCACTGAACGAGGTCAGGGCACGTGAAGACGGTTGTGCTGTTGCTGTACATTTGGGTGTCGAGCGGTATGGGCGCTGGTGTTGGGTGTGGGGCAAATCACGTCAGAAGTTTTCGCAAAAGAACGACGGGCAGTTGTTAAATACGAGTCCCAGGACTCTGGGCGGTTCTTGACTTACAAAGGGTCGAGCACATGGGTGGGCCGGCCTCTTCCCCGCTCCCTGGTGATCCCCGTGTTGCCCCAGGTGTGAGGCGGACACCACCCCCGTGCGACTTACCGAGCAGCTGCACTTTGTTCTCCGGACTCTGCACCAGGACCGAGCTGACCGAGTCCAGGTTGTCGTAGTTGCTGCAGCCCAGGGGGCCGGTCCTGGTCTCTGTGACCTGGGGAAGGAAGGGAAGGGCGTGGGTTTAGGCAGCAAGGGGAGACTCTCCCTTGGCCCTTTCCTTCTTCAGTCGCCCAATCTCAGCTCGCTGTCCTGTCCTTGACCCACCGAAGGAATGGCATGTGTCCCCCCACCCCCGGGGCGTAGAGCCACATTGATTCTTGTCCTAAGACAGTGTCCAGCCTTTCAGAGAGAGCCACAGAGGATCCGTGCGTGGGGGAGGAACGTCGGCGGGGCGGAGGAAGCGGGACCTTTACGCTGGGTGCCCCCTCTCCACCCCGAGGCAGCCAGACCAGATGCGGACGCCGTCAGCCGGCTGGGAGCCCAGCTGCAGCCACTTACTGTGGTGCTCAGAGGCCTTACGGATCCCTAAGATGAAAAGCACTAGAGAAATATGAGTTATGAGTGTTATTATTAGTATTAAACATTTAAGTCCCACCTCGGCACTGAGAAGTCCTTAGAGAAAATCAGCCATGGGCTTATTGCATATTTTACTAAGTATATTAAATATACATAGAGTCTTACAGCCATGTAATATTCCAAAACACCATAGAGTCATTTTAAAATATTATAAGGTTGGCCTATCAGTTTCTCCCTGATGTTTAAAGTAGAAGATGAAAAATGGGGAGCTTTAAATGCACTGAAATAATTATGTAATGAGAACGATGAGGACCGGGGGCTCTCTCTTCTCGGGATCTCCGAAGGCTTCGTCAACCATCAATCAAACAATCACCGAGTATTTATTGAGCGGCCACCGTTTCAATTCTGTGTGATTCATCAAACATTCCTACAGTGGCTTTCCCAGAGCTCTTCCAGGAAGTCCGCCCTGATACCTCTCACCCCCTCCCCGCTCCAGGCACCTCTGCTCCGCAGCGGGCGGGCAGGCCGCCGCGTTCCATCCTTTCCTGCAAGTATTTCATGACTGTCTGGGTCCTCCGCACACCAAAGGCTCCTCAAGTAAGCTCTCATGAATTCTGCCTACCGTGCCGTCAGCAGCCATGAACACAGGGCCTGGCACATAGGCGGTACAGTGAGTTAGAGAAGGTGCGAGTGATAGGTTTCAGCTGTCGGGGAGGAGGGGCAGGCACCAAGATACACACATGACGCACTGTACCCTCCAGGAGGCTGCGACCCCTCGGGGCAGTAGGCACGCACACAGCTGGCCGACAGGCATCCGCGTGGGGCAGGCGCAGTGTGCCGTGAGTACTTGGACCGCAGGCTCTACGCCAGGAGAGAGCAGCGGGCAGCAGAGCAGACACCCACGGAGCTGGTCCCCAGAGAGAAGCAGGAAGTGGACAGAAGAGAAGGGCGGAACGGTACCCGGAGAAGAAGGGGCAGCATGATCTAAAACACGGGCCTTCCAAAGTGCCGAGTGTGCGTGCCTAGCACTCTGCTAGTTACCATGGTGAAAGCCAACGTAGAAGGACCACGCTTCAAGGGAATTTAGTATACTGAAGCTTCACACAATACGGAGCAGCCCAGTCAAGTGAGAGACGGTGTGATGATGACTTAACATCAGTGGGGAGAGAGATACTGGCAGCTTTAAGAAGTCAAGAAGGCTTTCCTGGAGGAGGTGAGCAGAACTGGGCTTGAAGGATGAGTAGGGGTGAGATGAAATTGGGGGCAGGAGATTTGAGAGGAAAGGAAGTAACTGTAAAGACCAGGGGGCAACGATAGACACAGTACGTGAGAAGCCCCAAGACGCAGCCTGAGTGGAGAACGGGACCAAGGCCATGACAGGCGCAGGAACACCTCTCCACGGTCTTCCAAGGTCGTCCTCCAAGATCATCCTGTTTCACCTTCACAGTCGCTCGGAGATAAATCTCACGACCGTCACTCTCCAGAGGAGGAGCCCAAGGTTTGAGACTGTTGAGTCGCCGAAACAGGAGCCCACGAGGCCCCAGACTCCAGGTCAGTGGCCCTGTGTCTCCTTCGAGGGCACCTCAGCAGACCGCAGAAACTAAGTGCACTTAAACCCCTTTGGATGGCTTCACTCCTGAAAACAAATACTTCCAACAGCATATTTTAGTGATCTGCCTTCTCAGAATGTGAACCTGCAGCAAGACAAATCGTACAGCCTCGAGATGATAAGATCCTTATATTATAAATGAGGACACCAAGGCCAGAGAGCTTAAATGACTTACACAACTAGTCCCCTGCCGGGCTAGAATTCATCCAACTCACTCATTCATTCACTCATTTTTTTTTCATTTAACAAATATTCAGGGAGCAGTCAGAACTCACAGCACGTAAGCACCAGCCGCTGCCACGAGGAGCCTACAGACAAGTGGAAACATGTCTCCATGATCTCCGAATCCACTGGTACATGTGGGCGTGTCCCCGACAGGCGGGCACCAGGGGCTGAATAATGTCCCTGTATTGAGTGAGTGACTGATGGATTGGCAAGTTGTCAGACTGAAGTGGGAAGACAGACCACCGCCTTATGTCAAGTGAAGTCTTCTTTCTCCAAATAGAAGGAAACCCCTCTGAGAAGAGCCGTCACCAAGGACTAGCCCACCTGTTCAGGAGGAGCCTGTCCCTTCTGGAATGGATGGGGCCAAAGGGCGGGGTGGGGTGGGGGCGTGGCATTGGGAGACACGCTGGCCACCAGCTGTCACGAGGTTCTGCGCTGGATTCCCCACCACCACTGAGTCGGTCACTCGCCCGCCTCGGGTCCAGACGGAGAAGGAGCCACACGCCTCATGCAGGAACAGGAAGACTCCGGAGGAGGGACACGGCGAACACCACCTTCCTCTCTTTGTCCCACCAGGAGCCTCCCCCCTGCCGTCAATCCGTCTGCCTTCCCACCCCCCTGCTAGCATTCTGGGGCTGCCTCTGATGCTCTTTGCCAACCTTGACTTTGCTATTTCCAAGGTCATTTCCACAAGAGGACAACTGCTCGGGCAAGTCACCGAGAGTGTGAGTAGCTTCGCCTCACTGATGGTGGCACAGGACAGGAACGAGGAAGAGGCGATGACCGTGCCCCCACACCCATTTCCTGTTAGAGGGACGGGTCCAGGCCAGAGCCCCACCAGGAGCTCTATGAGCCAGGGAGCCAGTGGACCAGTGAACCGGACCGGACCACATCCCACAGTCACCCCTCTTCCCGCCGCGGTTCTGCTCTGAGCCTGCTCGGTCCTCCCGAGACCAGCGAGGAGGAGAGAGGGCGCTGGACAGGGCGCTGCCGCAGATGGTCCCGGACCAGGGACTAGACAAGCAGCCGGCCTCAGGCCCCTCCGCACCGTGCGGGGCCCAGGTCTCTGCAGGGTCGGTGAGGAGGGCCCGTGCCTGTCTGTGGAGAAGCTGGCACCTCTGCCAGATCACAGAGCGGGCCCACAGAGGCAGCGGAAAGAGCAGTTGGCTCAGGTGCACACGTTCCACGAGCAGCCCAGATAAGCTTTCAGAAAAGAAAATAATCGTGTGCTAATTGGTCTTTGACAGAGACCAGCCTGCCATCAGAACGCCCTGATGGATCTCAGGTTCATCAGCACATCCAACTTCCCATGAAGAGCAGACCCCGGAACCCTCCTTCCAGCCGCCTCCCTCTGCCCCCTGCCCTCCACTCCGGCGGCTCTTGTCCTGCCCGGCGCGACACCTGCGAAGCCAGCGGTGTGGCAGATGGGCTCTGACGGGGCACGGGGCTGCCCGGGAGGGCGGGGCAGGTGCCAAGCGGGCTCACAGGCCCCGCACACTCAACACCGGGCTGCTGCCCTGAGCCCTCGGACAAGACACCCTCGGGCGCTTTGTGAGGACTGCTCCCTGCTGCCATCTGGGGGTCCACCTGGACTTGTGTGGGCTCGGGCGCATCTCAAGCCCCCGCCCAGGCCTTCCTTAGCCTTCCACTAAGTAGAGGGTGAGCTGCCACCCGAACGGGCCCCTCCCCTCTTTCACGCCTCTGATCCCATCTCGGACTCACCAGCAGGACGGCTGTATATCCAGCCCTTTCCAGTTTGCAAAGCGTGGTCATGTGACCTGGCCATTCGGTACCACCCCAGCCAAGGGTCAGAGGTCGTATTCACAGAATTTGTCGGCAGGTAGGACAGGATGTGCCAGCACAGGGTTCCAGGGGCCTCCCGAGCTGCACGGGCCCCTTCTTACTACCAAGGGGGCATCTGGAGCGTCCAGAGAGGGAAGAGCTGGTCCAGGTGGCACAGGGTTGCAGTGAAGACCGTTGCCCAGCTGGTATGGACGTGTTTTAGTATTTTAGTAACTACGAACTCCACGTCCAGGAGGCCAGTGACCCCGCAAGGTCACAGAGACAGGAAGCATCCAGGCTGCACCCTAATCCCCCATCTCCCCACTCGAGTACGTTCGCCTCTCACGGACCTCGCCGGGTGTCTCACCACACGCCGGACCCTGCGAAGGGACCCGGACCTGCACCCTGCAGTCCCTGCTGCGCCGGCCCGGGGGGCAGAGGAGGGCGTGTGAACAGCTGCAGTGCGACGCGACAAGTCCAATATTAGAGGTGTGTGCTGATCAGGGGACACCGAGCAGTGGGCTCGCGGGGGAGTGTGTTGGATCATCAAAAGGGGACGGGAAGAGAAACTGCTAATGAAGGGTGAAGAGGAAGAGCTCACCGGCTCAGACAGACAAGACACACGTATGCTGGAGGACTTTTCCTGTACCTGGGCTGAGCCGGGGAGCACCCCTCACCCCCACCCACTGCTGTCCAAGGAAGGACAGAGCTGGAGCCCGCTGGACTCCTGCTAAGGCGTCGTGCTCCGTAGAGGGAGGTCGTGGCAGGTACCGCAGCAGCAGCCAGCCGGCAGGGACGACTCCAGCCCCCGCTCTGTGGACCTGCACGCGCTAAGTGTGCTAGCGGAGGTGGCCCTGCTGGGGCACCTTTATGTCAGACCAGCCCCATGAGGCGAGCGGAGCACGGGACGGGATGCCGACACCTCCCTTTGCCCCCACATTTAGCAGTGACCTTGGACAGGTCACACAGGTCTCTAGGCCTCCCTAGTTGTGTAGGGACAAGGACTCAGAGGAGGGGAGATG